CTTTTCCTCTTACTTTGAAAAATTAGTTTAGCTAATGATTTGTTTTATTTCCAAAAACTAATTCCTAGTTTTATTAATTAAATGTGGTTTTAATTTTCTTTAAATCTTGTTAATCTCTTCTTTGAGTTTCAGAATTTCTATCCTGGTGTTTAACTTTTTTAAATTTTGTCTTCCAGGGTCTTTTGTTTTTAGTTGCACACCAAATTTGTTGATTTATTCTCACTTTTTTTGTTGTTGATGAAGTGTTTAGAGACATAAATTTGCCTCTTAGGACCACTTTGGCAGCATCACAAAATTTTGGTATATTGTCTCATTGTTACTGTTATCTTTAATGAAATTATCTATTGTTTCTATGACGTAGTCTTTGACCCATCAATTCTTTAGAATTAAATTATTTAGTCTCCAATAAATTTTTAGTCATTTCTCAGTGGCCCTTTATTGAATATTTTTATTGAATAATGGCCAGTAAAAGATCATATAATTTTTCTGCCTTTCCACATTTGTTTGTGAGGTTTTTAAGCCACAATACATGGTCAATTTTTGTGAAGTTGTCACGGAGTTGAGAAATATGTATACTCCTTTCATTTCCCATCCAATAATCATCAGGCAGCTATCATATCTAATTTTCCTAAAATTCTACTCATGTCCTTAACTTCTTTAATTTTTAGTCAGATTTGTCTAGGTCTTAAAAGGTCTCCCACTATTATAGCTTTATTGCCTATTTCACTCTACAACTCATTTAACTTTTAGGTATTTAGATGCTACCCTATTTGGTGCATATATGTTGTTTTGTCATTAATTCATTTTCTACAATACCTTTAAGCACAGTTCAGTTTCCCTGTTTATCTCTTTTAATCAAGTCTATTTTTGCTCATACCCTGCCTGAGATAATGTTTGCTACCTCTTTATCTTTAACTTCAACTGAAGCACAATATATTTTGCCCCATTCCTTATTTTGAGTCTGAGTCTTTATGTTTCATGTTTCTTGTAAACAACATATTGGATTCTCCTTCTCATCCATTCAACTATTCTTTTCCACATTATGAATGAGTTTATCCTATTCACATGTTCAGTGTAATAGTTATGTATTTCCCTCCATCTTATTCTCCTATACTTTTTGGTCTTTGTTTCTTACTCTTCCATTATAAAGAGGATAGTGAAGAGTATGCTCTGTGCTTCATCCATTCTGATTCTACTTCCCTGCTCCTTTTCTTTGCCTCACCCACAGCCTAAGCACAGGTTATTTTTTCTTTCCCTTTAAACTGCTTTTTGAGATATACCCTCCCTGTTAGTGTGTTTTGCTTATGACTAATCACTTTATGAATCTACCCTCATTATTATCTCTCTTCTCTTTCCCTTCTGTCTCCCTGTTGGGTTAAATGTATCTTGGTACTCAACTCTGTGTGTGTGAATGTGTGTGTGTGTGTGTGTAAGTTCTTCCCTTCTTTGACAAGTTCAGATGAAAATGAGGTTCAAGTGTTGGACATTCTCTCTGCCCCTTCTCCTTGTTTGTAAAATGTTCTACTTGTACTCCCTGATTATGTGAGGTAATTTTCCCTACTCTCCCACACCTATTTTCCTCCTAATCTATTCTTTTTCTCCTCCCTTTCCTTTCTTCTTTTAAGCCAATCAAACACAGAAAAACCAATCCTAGACCAATCTGTCTTATCTAACTCCTTCTATGACCTCTGATGATATTAGGGTTTTGAAGAGATACTTGTATAATCTTCCTTTATTAGAAGATAAATGCTTCATCCTTATTTAGTCCCTTCTAATTTCTTATTTGTATTTACCTTTTCTGTTTCTCTTAATTTCTGTGTTTGTATTTCAAAGTTTCCATTTAGCTCTAGTGTAGTTATGGTCTCGTCAGCAGGAATGTTTAGTTAAATATACATTAACCCCCCCCACACACACATGCATTCCGACCCCTACCCTGTACAAGTGATTATACTTAATTTTCCTGAATACGTTTTCTTGATATTACAAGATTTCTGCTTCATTAACGTGGTGGCTGCTTAATCTTGTGTGTTCCTGACTGTGTTTCCTCATTACATGAATTCTTTCTTTCTGGCTGCTTGCCTCGGGCCTGCAACCTCTCCTTACCCGATCCATAATCCTAGATATAGGCCTCTTCCTCAGTCTACACTGGAGGTGCAACCCATCTCTGGAGCAAGAGCAATAGAGCTGTCAGTTAATATGTGTTCCTACTCCTGGCACTGCACCAAACCCCTCCCTAACGGATCTGGGGCATCTTCTTGCTCTATTACACAGTGCCAGGCTCTAGTTCAGTCCCTATGCTGGAATGTCCCATACAGCAACTTCCTGGCTAGACCCAGTTCCCAGTGTCCACCAACCTGAGTCTGTCTATCTTTTCCAGCCCATGTCCTATACCAACAGACTGGAAAAATGACTTTTTTTTAAAAATTTCCCAATCAGGACTCAGTCTGGTGCCTTTTCTAGATTATTTTGCTGGAGCAATTGTTGGGGAGAGCTGAGCAGAAGTTTCATCATTACTCCCATGATGCTCACTTAGATTCTGTCTTTTTTTTTTCCCAGTGTTTGTCTGGGTTCCTGATTCTTGCTGTCTAATCTTCTGAATTCTGGACTCTGCTTACCTGTCTGATCCCATGTTACCTGTCTTCTCTTTCTTTTAATCTCTGGACTAAATTTGGACATAACTGATTTACTAGCTCTACCTCCTGTCTACTCAAAATCTTGGCTCTAGTTTGCCTTTGTGCTCTGGAGGTTCCAACTGTTCATTTGTAATCAATTTTGCTGGTTCGTGAATAATATTGCAGAAGCACAAAAGGACTCTAAGATCATTTCACAAAATTCAGACCACTTGTTGTATGCTATAATGATGAAGAATTAAGAGATCATTTCCAGTTTATTATTCTTAATGTTTTAATTTCATTCTCTAATAGAATATTTGTGAATTTTATAAACATTAATATATAAACCACTGCTTCAAAAACATTCCAACACTTGATCAATTAATTGGACATAGTTTCATATTTATACACATTTTTACAGAGTTCATGCTAAAGCTAACCTGTAACTGCCAGATTTAGGTTTTTACAGTGTATGCAAAAACAGTATGAAATGGATGTTAATGCTGGTTTTATTCATGAATCATTTTGAGGTCTAACTTGAAGAAGGTGAAGAAAGATGCACAGTATGATAGCTGGAAGGAAGTTTTTGAGTAAAAGTAACATAAAAAAATACACTGAACTGGAGTTGGAAATTAATGACATCCCAAAGAACCCAGTGTAAAAATCAGTTTTCCTGGTATGAAGAAGGAGCTATTCTGTGATTGTCATGACAGGTAGAGCTTGACAGAAGATGAGATATCCACAGGTTTCCCATTCATAAATATCCAAGTCTTTTCTACTGAAGGAGCATGATACATAGGCATGAACAATGATAATCGGCAGGAAAGTCAGGGAGAGATGTGTGCAGGGTAGGCAACTACTGAACATGCTCTGAGGAGGGGAAATGGGCTGATGGACATTTTTAACATTACCTGTTGTGTTCTTATTCATCTTGTAAAACCCAGCTCCACTATCATTTTCTCCAGGAAACTTGTCCTGATTTCCCCTAGAGCTGATAATGAAGATTCTCTTAGGAAATCAGATAGCACTTAGTTTTACAACTCTCTAACGTACTTTCCATATAATACTGAGTATTACTGTTGTCTAGGTTTTTGTCTTCTCCTTCTAAATCATAAGCATCTTGAGGGCTGGCACCATGTTATTTAAACTGTATTTCCTCCGAACGCCTATCATCCTGCTCCATCTTGTGAATTGTTGCTGAATTAAAATGCAAACGTCGCAATTGGCAAGAAATTCTACTCTCTGTGGCAAGTAAGAGCACTGGACTGAGTCAGGAGATTTGGCTCTAGTCCAGGCTCTTGAGCTATTGAGCTCTGTCTGGGCAAGACATTTCCTTTTTCTGGATCTCCGCCTCTTCATCTGAATCCAGGATGACTACCTGGTCTCCAAGGTTCTCTCAGCTCCAATAACATGCGGTGTTATTGCCACCCAGGTGTCGGTGGGCAGACTCAAAGTTTCTGGGAGACAGTAACACACAAGGGACACAATTTGCAGTGTCTACCTCAGGCACACAGATGATGCTTTGTTTCAGCTCTAATGAGGAGCTTCTAGTCCTTACGTTTAAAATGACTTGGTATTTTACTGCTCTTGGCCCTCAATTTCCTTAGCAATAAAATTTGAGATTTGGACTAACTATTCTTTAAGGGTATTTCCAGCTCTAAATTCTAAAATTTTATTTCACTACTTGATCTGCTCATAATGTAAACAGAAAAGGTTACAGAGATTTGAGAGCTAATACAATGTTTCACTGTGCTTACATTTTGTTGACATTTTCCTCAACTTAAACAAAGCAATTTCACAGGTTGAGATTCATTTTTAGTTTTCATGACTATCTAGGCCAGCAGTCAAAACTCAATAAAAAAATTCTATGTTGTTCACATATTTCTTAAAAAATATTTCTAGTGTTTGCCCAGATATTTTTCCTTTTTTTTAAAACAAGGATTTATTTCTAAGTTCAATAAAAATTGTGAATTGAGAAAAATAAGATTCCAGTTTTTTTCAGTTTTACAAATTTATTTTAGAGATGTCAAAACCAGAACTTGAAGATATAATGATAATATTTAACTTTTTCTTCTCCAATTTATATTGTTACAAATTAGCACCCAACACCCCCACTTCAAATTGGAAAAAAAAAAAAGAAATGGAAATTTCCTGCTAATATACAGTCCTTGGTCAATGTTCGTTTACATACTCTGTATTTTCCATTTGAGAAATGAATGTGCAAATACAAGTATAACCAACATTTCTTTGACCAAATATTACTGTTAATTAAATACTCTTGCATACTAAAAAGGAAGACAATATAAGTGACATCCATATTCAATGCCACTGGTTCTTAAACACCTATTGCCAGCAACAGATGTTTCAACAAAGAAAAAAGAGCTTCTGAAAAGAAAAGGTAAAATATAAATTTTCTTTTACATCACGCCATATAAAGATTTGTAGTTCTCTTTTGTGCAAAGAATAGAAAATTGTAGGTCTTTCTATAATCAAGCAGTCTCTGGAAATGATCCTTTTACTTATTCTCCACAAGTGATCAGCGACACAAAAGAGCCTCTGGCCTACATCAGGGAGACATAAGCCAGTTTCCACGCTGGATCTGCTAAAGCCATCCTAAAAAAAGCAAGTCTCATTTTCGGGTAACGAATCGCACATTGATGGACTCTCCAGGTGTCAGAAGCCCATGGGTTTTTGCATGAACTGTTTTAGTTAGAGGAGAAGATTTGATCTCAAAATGTTGAAGCAACTAAAAAGAGAAAGGGACATAATAAGCATTCTAACCTTCTAAAGTAAAAAATTGCACAGCTTCCTATGGGATTAATACTGATACCATTGTTGTCAATTCCAGGGAGCCAAAGTAATGATGATAATTTTGAAGAAAATTAAGTTTATCTCCAGGAGAAATATTAGATCAGTGAGGGTCTATTCATTTGAAAATAGAGCATTCATTCCTGAACAGTAGCCTAACAGATCCACTGAACAGTCAGTAAGTCAATAAACATTTATTAAGTGCCTACTCTGCCAGGTGCTGTGCTAAGCATTGCCTCTAAAGTTGTGTGGCGAAGCAAAAAGGACCTGGAGGACCTGATTTTGAAGCCTGGCTCTCCTTCCTTACCTGTGTGACCTTGGGCAATTTACTTGACCTCTCTGGGCCTCAGTTTCCTCATATAAAATGCAGGGGGAGGGAGGTGTCTAAATACTTCTAAGGCTTTTTGCAAATCTCTGTTCCTATGATCTTATGACCAAGGATAGTTCAGGTTACAACTGAAAAGCAAAAATTTTTAAAGGCTTAAATTTTAGGATTCATCATGAAAACTCTAGCTTTGTTTCTTCCACTCAGGAGTTTTAGATCAATATCTAACCCCCCCCCCCCACTTCAAAGTGGAAATAAGAAATGGAAACTTCCTGCTAATATATGCTTATTTTAGAGAATGCATACTGTGTTCTACATTTGAGAAATGAACTTACAAACATGACCAATGTTTCCTTGCCCAAAGAACAAAAAATACTATTGTTAATTTAAAATTTTTGCATACTCAAGTGTGACATCCAAATTCAAGGCCCATTGTTATTAAACACCTATACCCAGCAACTGATATTTCAACAAAGAGACCTTCAGAATGAAAAGATAAAATAAAATTTTCTTTTATATTACACTAGATGACAACAAAGTACAAGATGATTTTGGCAGGCTTTTTAACCTGGAATCTGTGAACTTGTTTTTCAAATATTTTGATGACTACATTTCAATATAATTGGTTTCATTTATAGTCCTATGTATTTTATTTTATGTATCTTAAAATTTTGTATTATTCTGAAAAAGGGTTTGCAAGCTTTATCAGACTACCAAATGGGTCCATGACACACACCAAAATATTAAGAATTCCTGATTTAAAACAGCACTATTCAAATTTTCAAATTTTTTTTTCTTTTTAAACCAAAAATGCTTTTTTCATATAATTCAATTCAGCAGAGTGAAAGGTATTAAATTACAAAGTCTTGGACTATGAATCTCTTACCTGTATCATTACAAGGTGAATTTCTAGTTCTGCAATTCTCCTTCCTATACAGCTGCGGAGGCCATAACCAAAGGGAATAGAACCAAAGTTGTCTACTCTGTCCATATTTCCTTTCCTCAGCCAGCGCTCAGGATTGAATTCCTTTGCCATTGGGAAATTTTCGTCTTCATAAGATGTAGCATAATGACATAGAGCTAGTTGAGTCTAAGGAAACCATTTACAGTAGAAAAGAACTGTTGCATGTGAAAGCAGAGTAAGTGAAAAAATGCTAAACAGTCATTACAAAGATGTCCTACCCAGAAGCCACCACTGAAATCATATTACAATCCTCAACAAGGCCATGCCTGTGTCCTTTTAAAAAAATTTTTAAAGCATCTATTATCTCTTCCTCTTACAGTCTCCCCCAAATTGAACAATGTGAAAAATAAGAAAAGGAAAAACCTCCTGGAAAACATACAGTGCAGCAAAAAAAAAAAAAATTCCTACACTATTCATACTCAAAAAATGTATGTGTCATTCTGTGCTTTAAGTTTATCACCATTCTGGTAGCAGGAGGATGGCATGTTTCATTTTTAGTACTCTGAATTCATGGTTTATCATTGCACTGACCAGAATTCTAAAGTCTTACAGAGTTGTTATTCTATAACAGTTATCATTGTATAAATTATTCTCCTTGTTCTGTTTACTTCACGCTGCATCAGTTCATAGAGGTCTTCCCAGTTTTCTCCAAAATGATTCCATTTCATCATATTTATGGTACAGTGGTATTCCATTATAAACTATAATATAATATACTATAATAATTCCACAATATACTATAATATAATTCCATCACATACTATAATTCGTTCAGTTATTCCCCAATAGGTAAGCATTCCCTTAGTTTTCAATTTTTGGCTACTATAAAAACAAACTGTTATAGTTTTGTACACAAGCTCCTTTTACCCTTTCTTTGATCTTTTTGGGTTATAAGTCTAGTAATAGTATAGCTAGGTCAAATGACATGCACAATTTAGTAACTTTTGGGGCAGAGTTCCAAACTGCTTTCCAGAATGGCTGGACCAATTCACACCAGTATATCAATGTGCCTATTTTGTGATAGCCTCTCCAACACTTGTCATTTTCCATTTTTGTCAACTTTGCCAAAGAGGACTTATACTTAGATTCCTATAATTTCTGACATATCTAGATAGATACTTTCAAATATTTTATAGCTGCCACAGTTATTTTGAATGGAATTTCTCTTTCTAGCACTTCTTGTTGGGTTTTGTTGGTAATATACAGAATGTTGATGATTTATGTGGATTTATTTTTTTATCCTGCAACTTTGCTGAATTTATTGCTTCAATTTTTTTTGAATAATTCTTTAAGGTTTTCTCAATAAATCATCCTAACATTTGCAAAAATAAATAATTTTGTTTCTTCTCTATATATGTTTATTCTCCCAATTCCTTTTTCATCTTATTACCATGGCTTGCATTCCTAGGACCACCTTAAATAATAGCAGTGATAATGGGCATCCTTGCTTTATCTCTGACCCTTTGCAAAGGCCTGTAACTTTTCTCCATTATATATATTGTTTACTCTTGTTTTTAGATAAATATTATTGACTATTTCATGGAAAAGCCTTTTTGTTTTTATACTTTCTAGAGTTTTAAACAGAAACAGTTGTTGGATTTTGTCAAAAGCCTTTTTCTGCATCTATAAATAAATTTTCTTGATGAAATTTTTAATTTTTTCTATAATTTGCTTTTTCACTGGCCAATTCATTGGAATTATATTATACTGCCTCCAATTACTTTTCAATTATTTCTTCAAGGGTCCTATATTGAATATCATTTTTACTGCACTGAAACTACTAAATAATGTATTTAGTATTTCTACTTTCCTGTATTTTTGGTGATGTTTTTATGCCCCATTATGTGGCCAATTTTTATAAAAGTGTGGTGTACAAACAGCTGGTAATTCTGTATCAGGCTACATGAGATAATGAAGCAGAGAGCCACATTCAATTAACATTTGAAGGGGAAATAAATATATCACATTGTACCTATCAGCCACAAAATGTAGGTAAATCCTTTTCTATTCTCATTTAGTAACTGCCAGAGATCTCTAATTTTTCTAAAGTTCTATTCAGATCCTTATTTTTTTTCTTGTTTGGTAGCTCCAAGAGGGTACCCCCTACTACTATAGTTTTACTATCCATTTCTCCAATTCACTTTTTCTGTAAGTATTTAGGTGCTATGATACTTGGTGCATATAATGGGGCATAAAAACATCACCAAAAATATGGAAAAGCAGAAATTGAGAAAAACCTTAAAGAGTCATCCCAAAAAAAGTAAAGCAATAAACTCAGCAAAGTTGCAGGATAAAAAATAAAACCATATAAATCATCAACATTCTGTATGTTACTAACAAAATCCAACAAGAAGAATATAAAAGGCCTCTAAAATTATATTAGGAAGACAAAAATCCCCAAGTGAGTTAAAACTTGCATAAAAAATACTAGAAACAAAGAACTGTGGCTTTTAAAGTTATGTTGAAGATAAGAAAAGGAAGAAATAATGACTAGGAGCACTGCTAGAGGTGGATGGATGGATGTTAACTGATGACAGAGAAAGCAGAATTAATTTTTTTCATTTGTATTTTTTATATCATGAAGAACGTTATTCAGGCTGGAAATAAAAAAGAAACTAGGTTAAAAGAGAAATGGAAGGAAACAAACACAAAGCACCTACCACATACCAGGCACTATGTTAAGCACTACAAAAATGATCTCATTTGAGTCTCACAGCAGAGGTAAGTGCTATTATTATTCCTGTTTCACAGCTGAGGACACTGAAGTAAAGTGATGCCTTCATTTGTGTGAACTGATGCAGGTTGAAATAAGCAGAACCAAAAGAACAATATATGCAATAGTAACAAAAATGTAAATAAAAAGGTCCTTAAAAGTAAGATAGACTTGTGATAACCGAAAAATCAGTGAAGATGCTGGAGAACTGCCTTGATCCTCGTGGCAGAGAAGTGGGGGACTACTCAGGCAAAGTATTATATACAATTGGATTCAGTCATTGTATCAGTTGTTTTTGCTTAATTGTTTCACTTTGTCAAAGGAGAAATCAATACTAAGGGAGAATTTCTTCCCTGTGTATACCTTTCCCACAAATATATGATATAAACATAGAAGACATCAATGAAACACTTCTTTGTAAATCCATCAATGTAGATTTTTAAGTCATCCATTCAAGTTGTAGCTCCATTACATCTTGGTAGGTGGTTTCATGAGTGACTGAAAAGTATTCATCACCTTGTGTCTAATCCAGTAGAATAACTCAGCTAATCTAGTCCTCCCATGACAAATGCCAGGTCTCTCACTGGGCCTATACTTCAGAGCTTTCCAGCTTGATATAACCAGTTCTCCCAGAAACAGCCTGTGAGAACTTAGGGTTGAATCTATGTGATGATGAGTAATCTAGGTAGTAGGATTGGTGAAAAAAAGAGCAAGAAAGCATGTAGAATATGTATAACACCAAAAGTTATTCCCCAATAGATAAGTGGCCAAAGGATATGAACAAACAGTTCTCAGAAGAAGACTTGCAGACTATTAACAACCATATGAAAAAATACTCCAAATTACTACTAATAAAATAAATGTAAATCTAAACAACTCCCACGTTTGACCTTACATCCTGCAAAATGGCAGGGATAACAAAAGATGAGAATAGTCACTTTTAGAGGGGTTGTGGAAAAACAGGTGGAACTCTGAATCAGTACAACCATTTTGGAAAACAATTTGGAATCATGCAAATAAACTGACTAAAATGTTCATACCCTTTGACCCAGAGATTCCACTACAAGGCTTATTCCAAAGAGGCCATTGATAAGAAGAAAGTCCCAATATACACCAAACTATTTATGACAACATTTCTTGTGATAGCAAAGAATTGGTAACAAGTAGATGTCCATCCATTGGGGAATATCTAAACAAACTGTGAAACATGAATATAATGGTATACTACTGTGCTGTGAGAAATGATGAATGTGATAAATACAGAGATACATGGAAAGATCTACATGAAGTGATGCAGAGTGAAGTACAGTCAAAAAATAATATATACAATGACTAAAACAATGTTAATGAACAGAACCACCACAAAAGAAAAATCAAAAGTCAGTGTTTTAGCATTATAAAAGAACAAGCCTGGCTCAAAGAAGAGATATGAGAAGATAGTCCCACCCCATCCCACTGCAATGGTGGGAGATCCACAAGTGTTATACATTACACAGATTTTCAGACTTTGCTTTGATGTACTGATCAGTTATGCTGATTTACTTCTCTTTTTCCTTTTTGTGTCTGAAAATGCTATATAATATATGAAATGGCTCTTTTGGAGAGAGAGGATAAGGATACTAAAGGAAATAAGAGCAATTTAAAAAAAAGACATCAATAAGGTTTTTTTTAATGGAGAAAAAAGAAAGCATTTAAAAACTCTAAGAATGTTTCAAATGCCACTTTATTTTTGAACAGCCATCTTTTTTCATTTATGGTTAAGATCAGATTTGCAAGGTTAGTTACCCTGGGCTATATTCTGAGCTCCACTGCTCTTCAGAACACTTTTCTTTCCCTTCTGTGTTTTCTATTTTCCAATGGCTGCAGAATAGTTTGATGTTATTCAAGTTTCCTTTCCTTTATATTTGAAGGTCTTTCTCCAGATTGCTTGCAGAACTAAAGTGAATTGTTTAACTTAACCACTATGTGTTTTGGAGTATGCATCCTTAAGTTTTTTCTGATGGCAACTTATGAATTCTTTCAATTAGTATTTCATTCTCTATGTTCAGAAGTTCTAGGAAGTTCTCTTATATTATTTCATGCATTATGGTGTTAAGGTTTTTTTTTTTCTGTCATATTCTGGGAGATCTATGATCCTTGGGTTGTTCTATGCATCCTGTCTTTAAAATCAGCATGGTTTGCTTGCATAGTAAACACATTTTGTTTTAATGTTATCATTTTTTGCTTTTTTTTCTTCTGGGTAATCCTTCACTTCTGTGTATTTGCATTCCCAATATTTTGTTCTCTATTTTGTTTCGTTGGTGAGGCTTGCCATTGTAGATTCTAGTTTTTCTATTCTGCTCATTATTTTTACTATGCAGACTATAAATTCTCTTCTTATAATTTTCAATTTTCTTTTTAACCACTCAGGAACAATGTGTTGTGGTTCTATATTCTCAAATTCCAGAGGGTTTTCCATATTATATCAAATGCTGGATCATTTTCCTTCGCTTTTGCAGCATTTATTCACAGATGCCTGAACTTATTTACTATATCTGAAAGTCATATTTCTTTCTGCTGTTAATGATTTCCCCATTGATTTATCCATTTATGTTCAAGGTATTTAAGTTTTCTTCTCCTGAGATCTTTTGGTAAGTTCAATTTCTGCCCCCTTCTTATTTTTCCCTATTACTTACTTTCTGACTTTCTCCCTTCTGATTGTGGTATCCTTGAGAAACATCTCAGTGTCCCAGCCTCCTCCCATAGAGGGCAGCTTACACCATACGGCAGTTTAGGACTTTTGGGTGAACAGAACTGGCCCCAGCTGGATGCTGAGTACTTCCCTCAGGCTTAGTAGAGTGCTATACAACCCCCACATATACTGTGTCTTGCCCAAGTGGTCTGTCCTCAGTTCTCTGACCTTAAACCGGCAGTTCAGAAAGCTGGTGCTCTGGAGTTAATTTTTGTATTTTGGTTCTCTGAGGCTCTGAGAGGAGGAGGGAGTGGGATGTGGTGTTGAGCTTTCTTTCCAGCCCAGCCATAGTCTGGATCACTGAAGATGTGCTCTGGCTATCTGTCCTGGCCTGAGCAGACTTCCGCAGTGTGAAACCAGGATCTCCAAGGCACTTCTTTTGGATTCAAGGTGTCCTAAATCATGGATACAGTTGAAATTTATCTTTGGTGCATAATTTCTGTTTTGCAGAGGTTTGAGAGGGAATGGTATCAGGAGTACAAGGAAAGGGGTGGACCTCATAATAGAAAAAGGGCCACCTTTTCTTCTGACTGGAGGAAGACTGGGGAGACTGCAGAGGAAATTTAAGGTAAAGAATTGGGAAGAAGAACGGGCTTGTAGCAGATGGTGATTTTTTTTTTCTGGGTAAAGTATGAGTCCTCTGATGAGAGGAAAGAAATAGAATAGGTGACTTGAAAAGCCAAGAGAAGGTCTGGAACAAAGGCTGTGGGAAATGTGAAAAAAGCCATTCAGAGATGAATATCTGCTGTGTAGCAGAGATGACCCAATTCAGACTAAGTAACATAAATGTGCAGTATACCCAGTTAGCATGGTTATGTGGCTTACAACTGAGGCATTCAGCAATAAGGAAAAGGAACTGCAAAGGCAGATGGTGGGAATAACCCAGGGTTGGGATTTGGGAAGAGAGGAGTGGTGATAGGACAAAGAGATTTGAATACACAGTTTAAAGCTGAACTGATTAACTACATACTGTGAAGGAAGAAAAGGGAAACCAAAACATAGGCGACTAGAAAAGCAGGAGGGGTGGAGTGACTAGAAATCATGATGAGGATGAAAAATAGAATTGGAAAAAGTGAGGCAGAAAGAGAGAAAGAAAGATAAGAATTCTGAGAGAAGAACTTCAGAATTCTGAATCATAGAGGTTGAACATTTATGGGAATAGTAAATATCAAGAGTAAGATGGTATTTCTGAGGTGAAGTGATGTCAGGTCATGACTGAAAATTCAGTACAGTCAAGAGTTACATGGGTGCCAAAAAGGCTAATGTTGTCTTGGACTCTATTAAAAGAAGTATAGTGTTCAAAACAAGATGTAATAGTTCCAACTGTACTCTGAACTGCTCACAACCTCTGAAGCATTTTGTTTGAACCTATGTTCCACATGTTAAACGTGGAATGTTTGAAGGACTATCTGAAGGGTTGACACATGGAAAAAGAACCAGACTTATACTGTGTGGGCCTCCAATGGACAGAAGTAGGACCAAAGACTGGAAATCAAGGGGAAACAAGTTTTGGATTAAAATAAGGAAGAGTTTGATAATAATTAGATCTGTCCTTTCTAGTCAACCATGCAACCTGCATTGCAGCTATAATCCTTAGGTCCCTCCTACTGGAAACTTGAACTTTACCCTTGGGTTGACAAGCTCTGAGAGATGAGCTTTTGCTTCATCGTGCCCAGAACCAAGCCTTGCCATCATTCCCCAGTCACGTCTACACTTTGCTGACGCCCATACTGATACCTTACCCCTTTCTACCTCCCCTGTATTGTTGCCTTTCTCCAGCAGAATGCAAACTTCTTGTAGACTGGGCTGTTTTGTTCCTTGTATTTGTTTGTATCCTCAGTTCTTAGCACAGTGTCTAGCACATAGTAAATGCTTAATAAATGTTCTATTTATCATCTACCTATTTAAATAGGTAGTTCTTCATAAAGTAGGGGATTACTTGACACTGAAAGTATTCAAGTACAGACTATAATTTACTTCATATAAATTCACTTCATTAAGCATTTATTCATCTGTTTGCAAGTTTTTCCTGAGTGATGAACCTGAAGTGACCACTCTTTTAAGAAATGTAGTATAGAAATACTGTTGGATTTGGAGTTCAAGGACCTAGGTTCAAATCCTTGCTAGGTTACTGTCTCCTTATGTGACCCTAGGTCACAAAGGTGGGGAACCTGTGGCCTTGAGGCCACATGTGGCCCTCTAGGTTCTCAAGTGCAGCCCTTTGACTGAACAAAGATTTGTTCTGTGAAGTTTGAAATCAGTCAAAGGGTCAGATGTGGCCTCAAAGCCAAAGGTTTTCCACCCTGCCTAGGAAATTAATTTTGCTTCTCTGGGACTCAATGTCTTTGTGAACTAGATGATTTCTAGGTTCTAGCTCTCATGCTTTATAAATTTTTTTCATATGTGTATGTATCTTTCAAAGCTCATGAATTCTTTAATTAGGAATGGATCCATTCCTTATCTTTTTTGTATCCCAAAGTCCCCATCCTTCCCAATATCTTATATGCAACAGATACTAAATAAAAATTCACCACTGCTTTAAAAAGATTTAAAACTGAAACAACCAAAAATCCAGGACTAGGTTGAAGGGGAAGGTAAAAAAAGGAGGGGCGCATGTTTTGAGCACTGCTTTTAGCTCTTTAACTACTTTTGGTTTTTTCTTTTCTTTCTTTCTTTTTTTTTTTTTTTTTAAAGGCAATGTTCTGAGGGATATTGGGACTTCCTACAGAACACCACTGGGGAAAATTATACTCTTGGCTTTAGCAATGACAAGATTCTTTTTTGACAAAACATTATCATTATATATTTCACCTCACAGTTCATTCAGCTCCCTTTTTGCAACAAAGTATCTGCCAAAAAGGGGATATTATGAAGTTTTACCTAAGTAAACACAGAAAAAAGATTACAATCCCAACCACCTCCCCTAACTGCATGCCAAACTCACTCCTTTTGGAATTAGATACCCTCCAATAATCAAATCTTCTTGGGTTACTCTACCGTTTCCTGGTAAAACTGGAAATAACCTAGAGAGATAAAATACAGAATAGCTTTAACTATTGCAAAGATAAACAATTTGTATCCCAAATAACTACAACCTTTAGAACCACAACTCTCTCAAATAAATATCCCCAAAATATCTGGAATAAAAAAATTTGGTTAATGAATGCTAGTAGACTGAAGAGTCACATTCTTTGTAGAAATTAAGTGGTATATTGTACAATAGATGGCTACTTCAAATACTATGCAAATTAAGGTAACACGTCAGGCATGAAAAAACTGCCCTTGATGTATCTTAAGCAAAGCACTTCTGGCCATGATTTCTCTACTGAATAATCCAGAAACTTAAACAAAAAGGTTTAAGCACTTAAAAGTAGATGCAAGATCTAAATAAACTGGCTTTCTAAGATGTTCATTATAATCACCTTGGAAAAGGAATTGAGGCTTTAAAGGTGTATTTCTTGACATGATTTTTGAAAGCTTTCTACCTTAGGGTTTCCTTGAGCAGAGCTCTGATGAGTGGTACTCTGGGAATATCCTCTGCGGTTGGAACATGTTTCTTTCCCAAGTTTTTAATGATCTCATGATACACTGATTGCTGAACTTCAGGATGTTTTGCTAAAAGGTATGCAGCCCAGGACAAAGTGAAAGAAGTCTAATAAAAAAATAAACAAAAAGAAAACATACATGAACGCACAATTAAAGTGGGTTACAAAAACAACTAAAAATTAAATGCTTCCAAAAAAAAGGAAATTTCTAGATAAGGCATTCCATTTTCTACATATGTAGGTATAAAGCAATTGAGCTATGCTAAGCATCTAGGTCAAATAGAGTTAGACTACGTCGCATTCTATTTCCCCACAACACTCTCTACTTTGCTAAAACAAATATCCTTCATTCTAAATCTATCACAGAAAAAACCACAACCTAAATAGTCTTAGAGACAAAATCAACTACATATTACAAATGCTATTTTTAATAAAGAGCAGCAGGTAATTTTATTTCTGAATACATTTTTTATCTCAGTAAATATAGAATGTTTACCTGGTTAGGACTTACACTGCTCCCTAGATTCAGGATGGAACTACTCCAGAAGGCCACTCTTGGCATTGGTCTGATACTGCACAAAATTTGTATTTTTAAGGAGACAGAGAGTGAACAATAGTAGTCTGTCATCTATGGAAATTCTTGCCAGGCAGCCTGGCATCTTATTAGTTTAGTTACCTGCTTCTTAAAGGATTCTCACATTTTCCTGAATCTGAGTCCTCTCAAGAACAAATCTGGCTTCTTGCAGATCTCCCAGATGCAGAATGGCCAGTTCAAAGGGGACACCCCTGTCCTCAATGATCATCAACCTACCCTAGTCTAGACTTGGATATCTGAATTTGGATTACAACCATATTGGTTCTCTGGAGATGGGTTTCAAAGTATTATTAGCTGAACCATTTGTTCCATTATGTTTATCAAATAAAATCAACAAATATTTATTGACTGTCTATTACATATAAGAATGCCATTTTCTTTCTTTATAGCCATAATGTCACTTTTTGAGAGGAAGAACAGTGGCACGATACTCAAACACAGTGCAATATTTCTAACTACTTGCATTTAATTTGTTTGATCCCTTTGAGACTTCAAAGTTTATATTAATATTGGTTTTTATCACCTCTATGATTCTGTGTCATTTTCTTATGAGTGACGGTATTCCACAATAAAAATGCTTTTTCCAACATCTAAAGTTATATAGCCAATATCATACTGTTTCCCTGAAACAGGATTTGTTTTAAGTATTTCAGGGTTTTTAGAGGACTTTTATAAGGGCTCAGTCCTAACATAGCTAAATTCTGACCTTCATTATCGGATTGGCTTCAGGGGAAGGAATTTATCTATTCAAAGGAAGTCATAGAGAGGCTGTGACCTGCAACAGCACAGGGAGTGTGCATCTTAATAAAAACAAACAAATAAATAAATATGCCCACACTTCTCTTAAACACCGGGAATTTTTAAAGCTAAATACATGTCCATGAAAAGGACATGAGAAATTTCAATATAAAAATGGCAACATAAAAGTGATTAGGAGGGCTGTCAGTTTGTCAAGTGATAAACCCAAATTGGAGTTCTAGCTTGGTGACTTAGTTTTCCCCCTCTTCTCCATTCTACTCCCTGTAATATTTGTAGCTGCCACTAGGTGGCAGGAGGAAAGTACATCTGAGTCAGTAGTCACTTCTTAGACACTGGCAATCATGATAAAAGATCCTTTACAGTGTTAGAAAAATAAATGTTTAAGATGTTCTGTAAGCTGAATATTACCTAAAATAAATCTTTAAATAAACAACAGCAAATAGACCTAAAAAACAAATATGTAATTAAAATGAAATCCTCTTCTACTGGCACCCTGTCATGGAATGTAAGCTCTTTCAAGGCAAAGACAGTTTTTCCATTTTTGTCTTTGCTTTCCCTTAGCCTAACATAGTTAATTTATTCACAGTAGGTGCTTAATAAATTCTTGTTTAATTGAATTATGTCTATCTGGACTTCTTTTAGCTCCCTTGGTTTACTTTCAGTACAATACAACAGACTTTAGTAAAATGATCTTTGTTTTATAACACCGAAAACATTGTTTCTATTTCCATTCCAGAAAACCTGTTTCTCTCTATTTAGGAGCCTTAAGCAATATTATACTGCATCTAAGAACTTCTATAGTTTCCTGCCAGAAATTTTTCCCAACTTATTCCCAATCCAAGAGTTTCTTGCTCTATCTACCCTCTACCCCAAGTTTGGCAGGCTTTGCCTCTCACCTTTTAGACTTTAAAAAACAAAAACAAACATATGCTAGCCACTTAAAATTTCATAAAGATAATAGATATTTACATTATCTATATAAATATATATATATACACATATAAAACCAAAATACAATAATAACAAAAGGGATTATTTCACTATATAAACAAAACATATCTTTCCTGCCAGATTCATGAAAATCAATTAACCAAACTATTCTTTTCCTATTTTCTGCCCAAGACTGAGATTGTCATACTGCTTCTAAATTACCCTGTTCTATATGATGTTTTCTTAATTAGTATTATTTCAAAAAGAACACTTCCACACAGGCATGGAAAATTACTTGCAAAATATCCGGAATTTTTGCAAATGACATACCTCATTTTCCTAATGTTGAAATAGTTTCAAACATTCCTTAGTCTTCTCCATAGGGGAGAAGAAAATGTAATTATACAATAGAGTTTTTTTTATGTTGAAATTATGCCCTTTTAAGTTCTCAGCATCTTCATTTTCTCTACACTTTCAGCATTATATTACATAAGCCAAAAGCTTAGAAACCAATAAAAAGGGACCTTACAAAATGCCATACAAAATCTTTAACAACCCTTTTGTGTACCTTCACTTTATAATTTGTAAGAAAAGTATAGTTTTCTTTTGGAAATCCTTACCAATTCAAAAAGCTGGTTAAATGAAAGTAAAAATTCAGTCACCATTAAATTATGCAACATGCTTAAAGTTTAATAAATATAACAATTAATTTAAAATTCAAATTTGGAGTTCCATAGGGCTGTGAAGGCTTATCAAGTTAAAACTGGCTTTGTCTCTTAAGAAAACAAAACAAAATTGAAAAACTTACTGTGTCAACTCCAGCCAGGAGCATTTCAGTCATGTTAGCGTAGATCTCTTCTAATGTTAGCTCTTTGCTAATTAAGAGGTGTGTAAGTAGTCCTCCTTTTATGCTTTCTCCTTTATCTAGTTGGGACTGAATGTGCTTCAACTTATTGTCAACATGAATCTGGCCTGTTTAAAGATAAACTTTTTTTAAAAAGGCTTAGTTGAGTTCACTCTATAGTTTAGATGTCATCCTACTTTAGTCCTGACAACCCCACAAACAACTCCATTCAGAGGTTATTAGTCTGAAAATAACACAATTTTGGACCTTGGAACAGAACCAACATTCAAATGATCACTTTTACATGTAAAAAATGAACATGTGGGCACAGGCATTCCACTTATATTTTAATTATTTATCTAAATAGGCACGAGCTATATTCAGAATAAAGCAGTTTCACAAATATAGCTAAAAGACAATGGCTTCACCTTATATGGAAAACAAGAAAAACCCACTTTTGCTTGTCAGGAATATTTACTATGTAGGAAATATAAGTGGACAGGCAATGTGGTGTACTGCAGTGGTTCCTAACCTGGGATCTGTGAGCTTCTATTTATAATATTGATAACTATATTTCAATGTAAGTGGATTCCTTTGTAACCCTATGTATTTTATTTTATGCACTTAAAATACTATTCTGAGAAGGCTTGACCATATTGCCAAAGGGGTCCATGACAAAAAAATTAAGAACCTTCACTAGAGTGGACAATGCACTGGCCTTGGAGTTAGGAAGACCTGGGTTCAAGTCTTGCTCTGACACAGAATGGCTGGTGTTTCCTTGAAAGTCATTTAACCTCTCATTACTTGGGGCAATCCTCTGAACTACAAGTTACATAGCAGGTGCTGGATTGTATTGGCAGAGAAAGTTCTACAATGGGAGCTCCCTATGGTGAAGAAATAATATATGGCATAAAAAAAAGTGTACCCAAGATGAAGCTGTATATATGCTTTTATAAAATGACAGAAGTATAATAACCTCTTCTGGTATACAAAACCAGCATTATCTTTTTAAAATATCTACCTATACAGTTACAGTGGTTGCACCTGGCTAAATCAGGAACAATCATCCTAGAACACAGGGGGTTTTTCAAAGTTTGAGAAAGTCACTAATGGATTCCATTCTGTTCTTTTGTAAAGTCTTTCAAAAACAGAACCAGAAAATATAGCTCCCTTCCTCCTTGCCCTGCCACATTACTCCTCTCCACAGGACAGCCTATTCCACAGAAAGCCAGTACTTCGGGGGCACCTTCCCCATGGCCCTAACATTTTCACTAATAGCGAAGCTTGGTTAGTAGGGCTTGGAATAGGCTAAAACCTCAGAAAGTCCATCACCCATATTTTCTCCTATGAAAAATTCTAATATCAACCAAAGGTACCTTCTTTTCCTGAATTCAGTCCTCATTCCTATCTAGCCATAGTCTCTCCTGACTCCACTCCTTTATCACCTTAGCTACCTATCAGATATGTTGAAGTAGATATCTCACAGGCATTTCAAGCTCAACATGTTGAAAATAGAACTCCTCTTTACTTTAAAACCCTCTCTTCTTTCCAACTTCTCTATTACTATCAAGAGCACCATCATCCTTCCAGAATTTCAGGTTCATAACCTTAATATCATCTGGGTTTCCTCACTTTCACTCATCCCATATAAAACATATCTTGGTACATCTTACAGTTTCTACCTCTATAACATGTCTCACATCGGTCCCCCTCTCTCCACTTATGCACTCCATATAGCTCCTATCCTACTTCCGGCCTTCATTATTGCTTTCCTAAACTGTCAAAATAGCCTTCTAATTCGCCTCAAGCTTCATCCCACTCCAACCCAACTACCAACAGGCTGACGAAGTGATTTTCCCTAAGTGCTGGTCTGACCATTTTACTCTCCTGTTCAATAAATTCCACTGGTTCCCTATCACCTATAAGAGCTGTCATATACTCCTCTGGCTCTTATAACCCTTCACAACTTGTCCCCAGTCTACCTATCCAGCCTTATTATACATTACTCCTCTTCACAAACTCCACGGTCCAATCAATCTGGACTACCTAGTGACAGTTCATTCCCCATCTCCACACCTTTCAGCGAAGATTCCCCAAGCCTGGAATATACTCTCAGCTCCCCTCTGCCTCTTAGAATCTCTAGTTTTCTTTGAGACTTCGCTCAAAAACCACCTTCTATTTGAGATCTCTCTTCATCTACCCAGATGCTAGTACCCCTTCCCCTCCACTGAAATCACATTGTATGTATTTTTTAATATATATATGTATATATACATGTATATGTGTATATACATACATACTCATTGTTTTCTTCTCCCTCCTCTTCCGAATCTTAGTAAAATGAAAACTCCTTCAGGCCAGGACTGGTTTACTCTTGTGTTTTTGTCCCCAGCAGCCAACATAGTGCATGGCACATAGTAAGCACTTAATAAATGCTTACTGATTAATTGATCAAAAAAATTCTAGCACTGGTACCCTCTTTTCTGCCTCCACTTCGAATCACATCTGTAAACAAGGCCACAGAAGATACTGAATATGTTCAAAGTAAATTCAATAGGACAGAAAGTGAAACAAAATATTTGAAACATCTCTCTCAATTTAAAATAATTTAAAGGAAACTTGCAACATCACTTGGATTGAAAATGCAAGTGAAGAAAAAATTTACAAGGTGAGTCATGCATTATTGACTTAATTTCTTTCACTGTGTACATCTTAATAGAAGATCAAGCTGGGGAGAAAAAGCCTGTCAGTTGATAGTCAAGACAGTCAGTTGACTACATAGCAATGAGAATATGTAAAACAAATATATCAGAATGTAAACATCTAAATAGTGTTCTTCTTCAAAGGCATCCCTTTGGGAAGAATGAGAAAACCCAAAACAAATATAACAGAATTTATGTATCCAAATGAAGTTCCTCAAAGGAGTCCCCCTTGGGAGGCTACTATTCAAATGGCTGACATTTCTTTAGCATTATTTGAAACTTCCTTCCAAACTGCTTTTTGATATAGCTCATGAGTCATATGAGAAATTAGTATAATTTACAGCTGCACTTGATTTTATAAAAAAATTCTCATTAAATTTTATTGCTTTTGCATTTATTATAAACACTGCCACTGGATTGGTATTTACTATTTTCACAGAAAATACATAGTATTTCAGTTGTATTATGGGTTAAACTTTCGTGGGGTAAAATGTGGAATTCAGTACTGGAATCCTCTACCTCCATATCCATTTCTATATCATTTTTCATTTTTATAAATTGATTCTTTTTGTTGCTGTTGCTTTTTTTAAACTCAGAGTAATTTCCCAACATATACCCTGGCATCCTAAACACTTTGTTTTAGCCTTTATAACAAAGAAAAACAATTACACAAAAAAATGACCAACAAATTAATCATGTCTTCTGCAACATTCTGTAGCTGTCATCCCCCGTTTCTCTACCAAGAAGAGGGATGTCACACCTTGTCAGTCCCTCAAAATGTTATTACCAAAATTGATCACATACTCCATTCAACAGTTTTTGTTCAAACAACTTTCTATTGTTTCTGAAAAATCATTTTCATCCCCAAAACATGAATATTTGCTACCACTGAGGATTTTTAAAAGAATATGCCATGGGCTCTAAAGGCAACTCAAAAAGAGAAATTTTAAAAAATTTAATCTGCTGGCTATATTGTTGGAACAAGTGAACACTCATTTGGATGTATAAGTTCTGGTACCTATAAGAATTTTATTCAGTCATGTTATTCATATGTTTCATGCCAATTCTCAAAACTGAGCTAAAGGTCTATTAATACAGGTAACATTTACTATAAATCTATTGCACATCAAATCAATCTCTGCAATAAATAACTCACTGTCTTGGATGAAAACTAGATGTATGACAGGCAGTAGAGTAGAATCAGGCCAATTCTAGTTTTATAAAAAGTGACCCTTCAATTCTTCTCTTACTAAATTTGAAGAGTCCATCCCAGGATCTGCAGAATTCTTTCCAGGGTTTAGGGATAAATGGGCGAAGCCATTTGGGAATAGCTCCTGCATACATGGTGGTCTTAAACATACTAAACATCAACTCCAATGCTTCGATGTACTCCACAGTCAGCTGGGGGACATTGTTTTCCAGGCATCCCAAACGACATTCATAAAGAATAGTAGCCACTCCTAGATAGGAAAAAGGCAAGAGTTTAAAAGCCCTCTTCTGAAATGATGACATTACCAAGGCTTACGTTGTAATAATAAAACTAAGGTTCAAAAGCTTAGGAGACTTGTCACTAGAAATTGACAAATCACAGCCTCATTTTTTTAAAATTTATTTTATTCTGAACTTAAGAAATCATTTCCATAACAAAGTGGAATAGAAAAACAGAGGATTGCACCTAAAATTGCAGATCCATTATGTATAACTTGCTATTCCTTTCAAATATACGTTATCATGTAAGTTTCTTTCCTCCACCCCAAACTTCAAGATGACTACCATTAGACACAAATCTGTATATGTGTGTACACACGCACACACACACACAGACATACACGTGCATGCTAGTTCTTTTTCTGGATGCAAAGAGCATTTTCCTTCATAGGTCTTTGCAGTTACTTTGGGTATTTATAACAGTCAGGATGACTTGATTGCTCAAAGCTATTCTTAAACTATTTTTTTTTTTGGTGAGGCAATCAGGGTTAAGTGACTTGCCCAGGGTCACACAGCTAGTAAGTATCAAATGTCTGGGGCTGGATTTGAACTCAGAACCTCCTGACTCCAAGATGAGTGCCACCAAGCTGCCCCTCAAAGCTGTTCTTAAAACGATATTGTTGTTACTGTATACAATATTCTTTTGGTTCTACTCATTTCACTCTTCATGATGAAGGTCTCTCAGTACTTTTCTGAAATCACTGAGCTCATCATTTCTTATAGTAGATATATTCCATTATGAACGTATACCACAGTTTGTTAAGACATTCCCCAATTGATGGGCATCCCTGGAATATCCAGTTCTTTGCCACCACAAAGAGAGCTGCCATAAATATTTTAGAAAATATAAGTTCTTCTGTTTCTGTCCCACTCCTTCCCAAAAGACCGACTAGTTGATTTGCTTTTTTTTTTATTATCTCTGACCCTCTACATTTAACAACTTGGGGGAGGGTGTCTGGGGACTTTGACTCACTGTATTGTTGAGGAAAGAACAGAAGAGAGATAGAAACAAAGAGATAAAGATATGCAATAGCAATAAATATAGTTACAAAGGTTATTATACAGCTATATTCATTAGTCTTAGGGTGGTTTTTAAGTAGTCAGTATTTTAAAACAGTGGTTCCTTAAGCCAGCAAGGCTTTAAGTAGTTATGAATCCGTTTCTTCAACTGTAAAAATAAAGGAACTGGGCTAGATCAGACATTCTTAACCATTTTTTGTTGGTGTCATGCACCCCTTTGGCAATCTGGTGAAATCTATGGAATCCTTTTGAGAATAATGTTTCTAAATACATAAAATAAAATACATAGGATTGCAAAGAAAACCAATTAAATTGATAGAGTCAATATTCTTAAAAACTAAGTTCACAGACTTCAAGTTAAGAACCCCTGGTAGATGATCTCTAAGGTTCCTTCTAGCTTTAACATTCTATGAAACTCATTAAATCAGAAAGTTCTTACAGAATCTGAGTGTCAATGCCAGACTATCTATATACATTTCTATATACTTCAATGAATCACTTCAAATCAGATCCTGAGATGAAATATACATATGACATAATACTGCATTTCATCATATTTAAAGAAAAAAGTTTTTTCAAAAATTGCATATCTATAATCTTATTATGTATGCTTCCTTTTTCAGTTTTGTAATTTCTTCTAGCCTAGAATTTAAAAATACAAAAATATCTACTTGCATATCCCTGCTTCCAATTTCCTAGATTTTATCCCTTTTTCTTAACACCCATTATGTTGCCTTTCCTTAAAATGAGGGGCATAATGATAGCAGCTGACCTTAGAAAATGCTAGTGTGAACAGCCCAAATCCCAGAAACAACTAGGCAGGATTGGCTTTACAAGCAAATGAAACAGATGGCTGTACATATTGTATAAATTGAGGGACACCAGGAACACTAATTCCTACCCCAAAATGTTTTCCCCATCATACTGTCACTGTTTGAAATTCTACCAATAGAGAGATTCCTCTGGACCAAGAAAAAAAAAAAAGAATCCTATTAAAATGGAAATAACCATAGAGGGGATGGTATATATACATAAGGCCATAATAGCTATTATTAGAATTTGAGGGTGAAATAACTTAACAAATTACTTTCTAAAGTAATATAGTTGAAAACTGACTAGGTAGGAGAAGGACAATAGGATGGGCTTGGAAAATAAGGCACCACCTAGGAAAGCCTGGCCTGGGAATATAAAGTCCTTGAAAGCAGAAGTTGTTTTGTCTTTGTTTCTGATGTGCCTCACACATCATAGATGGATGCTTAATAAATGTTTGCTGAGTTGAACTAAACTGAAATGAACTGGAAAAGGCACCAATACAGGGAACTCTGACATCATGAGAATAGAAGGTGACTCATGTGAAGTGAAGGGGGCAAAGACAGAGAAATATTCCAGGTTGGGAGAACAGCACAGAAAAGATAGGATCCTGGAGCACTGGCTTAGAGGCAAAGGACCTGTTTTTGAGTTAACTACTGCGACCTTACTTGCTGTATAAACGTGGATAAATCACTCTCCCTCTTTGAGCCTCAGTGATCTTTAAAGTCTTTTCCAGGGCTGACATTCCAAGAAATTCCCTGTCTGTAGGCCAAAAAAAACTGCTATCACAGATTTTGGTCTACAAGGAGCCTTAAAAGTCCTCTAGTCCAACACTCTCATCTGTAAAGTCAGGACAATACTAGCACTTATCTCACAGGCTGTTATGAAAATTAAATAAGACAATACAGGTAAAGTACTGTCTCTATAAACCTTAAAGTGCTGCATAAATGTTAGCCTTCATTATTAGGAGATTATAGCAGTTTGATGAAAGGCACTGTGACTTAATGAATAAAGTGCTAGATATAGAGTCAGGAAGTCCTGGATTCAGGTCCTGCCTCTGACATTTACTAGCTATGTGACCATAGTCAAGTCTCTTAACCTCTCTGAACCTCAGGCTACTCTCTTGAGACATTAGGTCATGGTTGGTTTGCTCTTACATTCATTATTCCTCCAATCTCTAAAACTTGAAGAGTAGCACACTCCAACCTCAAGCAATATTCACTTGTCCACCTTAGCTAGTTACTCATCCAAATTTATTTAGCTATAATTCTTAGGCACTTATAACTGGTAGGCAAGATTTTGCCTTTATGCTTGTCCTAACTCATTACTCTTAAAAAAAAAAATCTGTCCTTTGGATAAGTGATAATGAGAGAACCCTTCAAGAAAGACAAAACACTATGAGCTGGGAGTTCAGAGAAAGTTCTGACTTTGTCACTAACTGTGTGAAATTGGACAAGTCATTTGACTTCTCTGAGACTTTTCTTTACATGTAAAATGAAGAGATTAGACTGTATCAGGTGTCAGCAATCAACAAGCAACATAGGCCCTTTTAGGTAGATACCTGAAGCTACTTTACCAAAATACAGAATACACTTTGTACCTATATTTCAATTCATCTTCTTATTTTGCAAAGGAATAAGGAATCTCTGGTCTTGGAGCCAAGTAAGGTTTTCATGCTTCTGCTCCTATGCATCCATTCTCGCTACCCAAAACACACAATTCTAAATGGGATGCCCCACATCAGCATTTCCTATTCAGTTACTCTTCTGGTTCAACAATTCCCTTTCCTTTTCCCACCTCTCTTCCAGTCTGTCGTCATTGCCTACTATGTTATGTTATTGCTTCTTCTCATACTTTTCAGGCTCTCCCAGCCATTTAAACAGAAATCCAATTCTGCTTGCATCACCATACCCTATAGGATTGTTGTAACTATATGTAAGGCAGACAGTGCAAATATAATTGCACTAATGTTCAAAGGAGAGAACCTTAGGGTCCTCCCTCCAGTTTATAGGCTGAACCTGTGCATTATAACAATGGCCTTCTGAGGACAATAAATGATTATTATTTGGTCTTTCTCTCATAATAACTTGTATAAACTAAATAAAATAATCAAAATGTGCAGTGTAGATGAAGTTGATACAATATCCCTCTGGAATCAACTGATATACACACATACATATAATATCCATACATATTTGGAGAGTTATGCTTTAAGACTATTACCAAAAGTTGCTTTCCTCCCTTAAAAGGATGTTGACTCCTGGACTAAGATGCTGTCTGAGGTCTTTGCCAGTTATATGACTATGGTTAGATTAACTAATGACACACATTAATGGAGAAGTTGTGACTTTTCTAACCTTATACTACCAGTCTTGTTAGATGAGCGTCCTGGTGACTTTGCTGCTGATACAGATTTATCAGTACAGAATGAATCTTTCTTTATTTCCTAATACCTACAAATCTACCATAAAATAACAGCCATGTGGAAAGACTCAAATGTACTACTGTTTGATCATTGGCAGAATTCTTTGGCAGACAATATTACTGTGCTCAGGTTCAACAAAATAGAAAACAGTGAAGTCAAATTAGAAGAAATCCCCACAACTCTCCTCCTAATGCCATTGACAAGGAAATTTCAATCAGTAGCTTTAACAAACAGCATTTCTGAATAAAATGTAACAAAACTTATTTTTCCAATATTTAAGGCATTCTGACATAAGAGAGTTTTCCACATAACTGAAGTCTATCTCTTTAAGCAAAAAAACAAAAAACAAAAAACAAAAAAATAAACAAAAAAAACCAACAACCCTTTTTTTTTAAAAAAAGCTAAGTATTCTTATGGAAATCTTTCCAAAATGTATTTACATACTTCTTTACCTCCTTAAAGAGAATATTCAACTTAATTTAAACTTGATGATCAGGGTCACCATTACGCATATTAATTATTGAACTTTGCTGTTAGACTACCATATTTCACCACGTAATCACTGCCACCACATAACTGTCACACCCTATGGGTGTTGTTTTTTTTTTCCATCCAAAAATTGGTTTATAACCTTTCATAGTGTAATCACCGCATGGTATAATTCTGTTCCTCACACATCTTAAAAGGTAAACAGCGCAGGAATGTATTCACCAATGGCACAGGAATATACATTTATCTCTCGATCACTGCCAGCCCAAAGCCTAGAACTCTCAGCGCACGCGCATTGTTAGTATTCAATTTTAACATATTTTCACGAGTATTCTGTGCACCCTAATCTGCGCCAAAGACAGTTTAGTAATAAATGATTTTTAAGTAATGACAGCAGAATTTTAAAAAAGCTTCACATAATAGTTACACCCCACTTTTTTTTTTACAAAAAAATTGGCATAAAATCTGCGACAATTATGCAGTGAATTACTGTATTAGAGCTGAAATGGACTTTTAGAGATGTTCTAGTCTGCCTTCCTCATTTGATGACAAGGAAACTGAGACTCAAAAGGCAATGTGACTTGCCTAAGGTTTTCAAATAGCTAATAAGGGGCAGAGCTGTGACTCAAACCCTGGTCTTCTGAGTTTTTTAACTCTAAAGACTTTCTATATATACTACATCATTAGCGGCTATTTAGGTGTGTACATGTAATTAATCTTATACTAAATAGTCATGGGAGCAGCTAGATGGAACAATATATACAGCACCTAAAGCTAGGAAGACCTGAATTCAAATCTAGCCGAGGATCTTGGACAAGTCACTTAACCCTGTTTGCCTCAGTTTCCTCATCTGCAAAATGAGCTGGAAAAGGAAATGGAAAACCATTCCAGTATCTTTGCTAGGAAAACCCCAAATGGGTTGGACCCACGAAGAGTTGGACAGGACTGAAATGACTGAACAACAAAAACAGCCTTAGACTGTTTTCTATAACTTTCAAATTCTTGCAGTTGTTTTAAAAATAGTTTTTCTTTCTTTTCTTTCCCTCTCAGTCTGACAGTTGTCACTTTAAGGTTTTGTCAGTTCCTTTATGTCTATCAGCCCCTCTCCAGATTTCTAATTTTCTGTAGCATGCATGGAAGAACAGGCCATAAAAAAGTAGAGTTTGAGAAAACAACCATATACTTTCATAACACCTTATTTGGTAACATCTGATTTATCTTATGGTAAGAGATTCTCCTTTCCCCCTAAAAAAAAAACAAAAACCCAACAGATCCCTGGTTCTATAAAACAAACACATGAATCTCTGTGAAAGTTCACTCATCTTTCTTTCTTTTCTTGACTTGACATGCTGAATGCCTCACCTTCCATTGAGTATTTGAAGAAAAGATTATTAACATTAGTCACAGTTTCTCCATCTGCTTCCTGGCTCTTGAGGATGTAAATTCTTTTAATCAAATCAGCAATAACTTGGTTGACTTCTCCAGAAAAAACGGCCACATCTTTGGGTTTCAAAATTTTTTGTCTCAATATGCTTCTCATCTTTAGCCACTGCTCCCCTTCCCTAAAGAAAAAAAATTAATTTCTAGTCATTTTATATAAGTGTGTACAGATGAGCAATTACAAGGAATTTATAAGAATTTCTCAGTGACAGCAAAGTAATTGCTAGATTTGCCAGTCAATCAGATAGGAAGACTAAACAACAAAAGAAATATAACTTAAAGGAGAAACTTAGGTTGGATATAAAGTACCCCTCTTTGACTTTGAAAGTAAGAACACACTAGAATCAAAGATTGTGGAATCTTTGTTCTGGAGATCAGAAGAAAAGAATAGACAACTAACTGTATACTATTTGGTTTACCGCTGTTTACTCCCTTTTGAGCCTACAGATATTCAGAGCTTTATGTCTGAATTTTAAAAATGTAAAGAAAAAGATCAGTTGCTATTATGAATTGTATTGATACTATCAATAAAAGTACTATTATGTCTTTTGAAAACCCTACAGTTATAACATAATGATATATAAAAGTGATGCAAACCAACCAACATCAGTGAACAACATACTCAAACCTAAGTCATTAGATATGAACATTTAAAAAAATTACTGCAGACCTTTGTTAATGACACGGCTGAATTTTAGTTCCAAATTATGGTCTGGTTGGCCAGCACAGGTTTAAAAATTTACCTGTCAATAGGATCAAATGATCATTAGCAGGCCCTTCCAGCTCTACTGTTTGTAAGTTTTAAAAAATTATGATGGTTTTCATTGGTTACATGTGATTACCTAAAACTGCAGTATGCTATTTGATAAATATCTCCTTTCTGTAGAAAGCAGGGACAACTGAGATCTGGCCAGAAGAGACCTTCCACATGAATTAATGCTATTTATCTATAGCAGTTAAAAGTGTACACAATTCACCCTCCTGAGCTTGTAAAGCTTCACTTTATTGCAGTTAAAACATTATACAAATAAGAAAAAATAACGAGACTATTTTGAATAATGCCTCTTTGCTATAGCTCTTAAAACAAGGATAAAATACAATAAAACAAATATATTTTAGTCTCTATCCTCAAGGAGCTTATACATTCTAACAGGAGAACAGTTATGATATATAATATGTACAATAAATCACATTACAGATTTAAATGTTGTATGAAGCTTGAGGGGGAAAGTGATTAGAAAGATAAGTTGGCAGCATCTGAATTGAACTTTGAAGGATGGGTAGGAATTCAACAGTTGAAGAGAGAGAAAGAATACACTTCAAGCATAAGGCACAATGTGAACCCCTAGATGAATAGAGAATGCAATGTATGTTTTGGGAAGTCAGTGGCATTTTCTTGCCTCGTTTGGTAATAGAAAAGAGTGTATGAAGTTATGAGTTAAGATTGAAAAGGCAGAATTGTGCCAAGTTGTAGAGGGTCTAGAATACCAGGCAAAAGAGTTTGAATATAATTTTGTAGGCAACAGGAAGCCAACCGTAGATTTCTGAGCAGAAGAATCTCTGAATGAGGAAGATTATTGTGAAAGAAATATGAAGAATAGATTAGAGGTGGAAAGACCTATAGGGAGGCTACTACAATATTAGGGGTGGGTGGGAAAGAGGCCTACACTAGTTTGGCACTTTCAATAAAGAAGAGAGCATGAACTTGAGAGATTTTGTGGAGATGAAATCAATAGGACCTATATTATATATATGAGGTGAGGGTGAGGGTGAGGGAAAAGTTAAAGGTTACTAACATGTAGGACCAGATAATGGTTGCACCACAAAGAGAACTCAAAATCTGTAGGGAAAATAACTTAAGTAGATATGCTAATGATCTCAGTTTGGAACAGAGTTTAATGATGCCAGTGGGATGTCCAGGTGGAAATGTCCCACTTGGGACAGATGAAGACATAGATCTAAAGCTCTGAACATAGAAGGGCTTGGAGTTGTAGATACAGGTGATAATGAGATGCAGAGGTTGAAGCTATGAGAATAAATATGATTGCCAAGGGAAAGATTGTAGGAGGAGAAAAGGACCAAGATAGAGCCTTTTTTTATTATAATAATTATCAAATACTCCATAGGAATATCGAAAATTGCAATGTACTATTTGAAGCTACATATGAACACCTTAGAGAAAAACCACATTAAGAGACTGGAAAGAAAATGAGAAACCCATGAAGGAGCCAAAGGAGTGATTATAGAGTTAGACAGAGAGTTGGAAGAATGTGTCATTTTTTGAAGCCAAGGGAAGAAAGACTATCTAGTAGGTCATAAGTATCAGTGTTGAAGAAAGGCTGAAAAGGTCATTGAAATGAGCAAACTGGAGGTCAGTGATAACCCTGGAAAGAGAAGTTTCAATAAATTCATGGTGGAAAAAGCATGATTGAAATGTATTGATGAGAGAATGGACTGTCCTAAGGTGAAGACTAGGCATAAAACAGTAAATGGATGGGCTGAAAGATTCAAGGGAAGGATTTTTTAGAATAAGGTAAACCTGAGCAGTCAGACAAAGTTCTGCATGGCATTCATTAATTACTGACACAGACTAAACACATGTATGTACTTACGCAGAAATAAGCCCAGTAGATCTCCCTCGTAAGTCCCTATACTCTTGCCAGGACTCCATATTGGCTCTCTGCGGAGTGGTTCCCTCAGCTCGGAGAACCTGAGCCACCATGTCTCTGTCTGCAATAGATACTACAAATTGAGGACCAAAGTGAGACTTGAAGATTTTTCCATATTCCAATGTGTGTTTTTGCTGCAATACCATAGAGAAATCAGAGAAGAATAAAAAATACATATTAAGAAAAATATTCTACAAAGATACACTTTAGCAAAAAAATTTTCCTGATTTTGCCAAAATATGATATGTCACAAATCAAATTCTCTATCCTACAGAATGGTATAGTGAAAATAACACTGGATTTGGGATCAGAAAATCATGATTCAAGTCTTGGTTCTATTACTTAAAAGTTTACTTAAACTCTTTCAATCTTGATTCCCTTATCGATATCATGAGGATAACACTTCTATCATTATCTACTTCAGGACTGTTCTGAGGAAAACACTTTGTAAACAGTAAAATTCACGTAAATAAGTTATTATTAATATTACTGAAGTAAACCTATGATTTCATATGATAAAGATATTTTTCAATTCCTAAGACAGAAGTAAGAGATTTATTTGGTAAGGTGAAGCACTAGGAGAAATATATTATTGTGTATTTCAAGTAAAATAAAAGTGAACTTGTTAGAAGAGTAGTAAAGTAGTTACCTATCTCTTGAAAGTACTTATGACCAATATGAATAAAAAGGTCAAGGTGTTTCCCTAAAATTAATAGCTTTTTAAGGGTAGATTACTCAGGAATACACATAACTAGAGCTTAAGTTGGATAAATTAAAGGTAGGCTAAAAGTAAAGGTATTAATAGGTAGGAAAGGATCTATACTAAAAAAAAGAATACTGTATGTTGAACAGAATTTAGCAAGCGGGTGATGAATTAAAACACTTTTCACTATAATTGAAAAGTTATCCCAGATACGGTATACTTAATGCTGAGAATTGTCAAAGGAAAGAAAAGAAGACAAAATACAAACCAATTTTATTTAACAAACTAAGCAAATTAACAAAATTAAGCATCTACTTTACATTGAATGTGAGGCAGCACAGCCTAGTGCAGTTCTTAACTTTTTCCATGGCATGAACTCCTCTGGCAGTCTGGTGAAGCCTCTTCTCACAATGATTTTTAAAAATTCATTAACTGAAGGAAAAGCTAAATTTTAGAGGTTAGTGAAAGGAAAGATGTATTTTTTTTCATTCAAGTTCACAGACCCCCTAAAATTTATGATCCATGGACCCCATGGTCTAATGGATAGAGGGCTAGTTTTTGAGTCAGGGAGAACTTGGTTTAAGTCTTACTTCTGATATATATCTGCTGTGTAAGAATGGACAAATCACTTAACTTCTTAGTGCTATAGGGTACTCTCTCAACCTATAAATAACAGAATTACTGATGTGGACTGGTAGAGGGAAACTTCCACATTAGGATTTCCCACACGCACAAAATCACAGTTACAGATCACCCCTAAAATTGTGCAGAGCACTGTGATAGATATTGAGTGTGATTTAAAGTTGGAATAAGACACAGTCTCTGCCCTAATTGGGCATTATTATCTAATAAGGGAGAGGTCATCCAAAATGAGCTCTAATATAAAATCATTAAGTGCATAAAGAGTTGTAAACAAAGTGCTATGTGAGGTTTGAGGTCTGAGGACTTAAAAGGGAATTACCAAGTAGAAGCAGCTGGGAAGGCTTCATGGTGGAGATAGCATTTGAGTTGAGCTTTAAAGGAAAGGGGAGGGAAAACATACCAGGCATAAGGAACAGCATCAACAAAAAGGCACCAAACCAAGGCAATCAAATAAATGAACAAACATTAAATACCTACTATGTGCTAGACATTAAGAATACAAAGAAATAAATGAAACAGTTCCTGCTCTCAAGGAGTCTAAGTGCTTCTTGAGAAAACATACACACAAGTAAAAGAATGGGCAATATTATCCTCCCCACCTCTCCTGGCTTAGTTGATGTAGTCAAAGAAAGTAGTCACACAATATTAAATTTTAATATAATTAAAAAAGTAACACCTTGTTACTTTGTAACATCCCTTTATAAGGGTGTCTGAGTCAAGAAGGGAACAATGGGATGGTTGAGCAAACAAATTAGCCACACTTCTGTGATCTTTAAACAGTTAATCCCTAGACAAATTCCCTGGTGTGGAGAATTCTAAGACAGCCCCCTATGGATAAGATTGTTGCAAGAGAGGAATGATTTCTCTCTTCTTTCTTTTCTCTTCCCTCTCTTTTCCCCACAACTGGCAATGGTATTTAATAGCAAAGCAGGAGGCATTCAATCCGGCAGTTCTAGAATTCCCTGTCTCAAGAGAATTGAAAACACAACTCATAACTAAAAACACACACTCCAGATAGGTATAAATACAGACAAGACATTCACTTGAAGGCAAAAGCAGCTTTGAGAATTAGGGACCATGGAAGCAGAGAAGAGAGCTGGCAATGATGAGAAGCAGACCCTGGAAGCTGAGCTGAGAAATCTTCCCAACAAAAGGGAGCCTCACAAGGATTCTACAAGGAGTCCATTGCATTCTGTTTGATTTCTGTCTTCCCAAGGATGCTGTGTGTATTTGTGGCTGAGTACACCATGCTGTATGAAGGGAATACTTTGTAGTTATTATTATATCATCTTAGTTTCTTTGCTTTGAGTTAAATGATACTGGGTGACTATTGATGGGAAGCACAACTGTTAAAGAGCTCATGAGCTACAGTATTAGAAGGAGACACTTAGAGTGCTGGCCCTGGAATCTACTCGCAGAAGAGCAAAGCTCAAAGTGCAAATTGAAGGGAGTACATTGAGGGAAGTGTTACACTGTGAGAGCTTCAACTAGGTTATAATGGGTACTGTACACATTTGAAGTGTCCCACTGGAAAAATTTTCCATTGGTACTCTCCTTGGATGCCCCAGCAGAGATACGCTAGAGAAATTAGCATCTTTCTTCCTTTTTTTTTAGACATCAGTTTTCCATTATGTGTTCTTTATACATCAGACCATTTTCTTTTGAGTTAAGTTTTGCTTGGTCAAATACTTACATTTTGATTTCTGTTGCAATATTGTATCCACTTATGAGTATGGAAGCTAATATGAGCCGTCTAGAGTTTACATCCCTAAAATACCAGTGGCTTGCAATTATCTTAACACACACCAATGGGAGCTCATATCTATTCTTCTTTTTTTTTCTTTTTTTACTTTTAAGAATACCTGGATTGCTTGTATTATTGTGACTTGAGTCTAGACATCTTATGTGAGATCCTTATGGACTTTCGGTTCAGAGGATAAAGTTTTCCTCATGTCTTAGGAATCTCAAATGGTTAATCCCTTTTGGGGGAGGCCACTCATCTCTTTGGCATTTGCTAAGTATGTCTGATTTCTCTTTCTTTTTATGTTAGTCTGCTTATTAGTGAGGACTGAATTTGGTCTTCTAATTAGACTGCCCTATGTATTACAAGGGTCCACTGTGAAGTTCTGGGTGCCTTATAAATAGCAAGGTCTCAGATGAAATTTTTTGTCTGAACTTTCAAATGAATTGTTATATGTGTTTAAAGAATCCCTAGAGAAATTTCATGTACCCTATGCATTTCAGGGACCCAGGGAAATTTCATCCAGGATAGTTTGGTTTCTCCTATCAAAAGTGAGGGTATGGGGCAGCAAGATGGTGCAGTAGATACAGCACTGACCTTGAAGACAGGACGACCTGAGTTCTAATGTGACCCCAGACTCTTGACACTTACTAGCTGTATGACCCTGGGCATGTCACTTGACCTCAACTGCCTCACCTAAAAAAAAGTGAAAGGATGATTTCCAGTCAATCCTGGGTTCTCTAATCCCTGAAAGTACAGCCCAGGGTTTTGGGAGTTTTGTTGAGACTAGACTTTCCTTCTGAGCATGAAAGTTTGAGTTTTTTCCCTTTTCTTTATTGTCTTTGGATTTGGAAAGGCCTTTGGATGCACCAAGACAAGCAGTAACCTGTAAGAACTTTGTAAAATGTTATGTTTATGAAATTTATTAGCGTACATCTGGAAGTGAGTGTAATCTCCAGACCCACTCGTTTATCATAAACATGAATCCTTGTAGAAGAATGTTAATTTTTTAATTGTTTGTGAATTATGCCACATGAACTTTGCCAGAAAGCACCCTGGTTGATTTGAGAAGGGTGCAGGTAGGACAGCATGGCATCTTGGAATCCAAGAAATAGAGAGTATCCAAAGGGACTGAATGGTTAATTACTAAATTCTGCAGAAAAGTAAAGGAGGAAGAAGATGAATAGGAGAAGGCACTGGATTTGGTAACTGGATTATTGATAACTACAGCATAGAAGAGTGCAGAATAGTGAGAACAGAACTCAGATAGCAAGGGCTAGAGAAAACAAATGGTGGTGAGAAAGTAAAGGTGTAAGATATGGAAACCCTTTTTAAGAGGTCTGGCTATGAGAGGAGAAAGGTGAGACAGATGTTTGAGGGGGAAGAAGGGTCAAGAGAAGTTTTTCTTTAGGATTGAGATCCGATTTTTAGGCAGATCAAAAGGAGTCAGAGAAAAGGAAGAGATTAAGGATGCATGAAAGAGAAGAGATTAACAGCCAGAGCAAGGTCCTAGAGGAGATAGGCCGGGATGGACACAGGTCAAGGAATCACATATAACATGGGGTAGGATTAACTCTTCCTCTGAGATAAGAAAAAAGAGTAGGTCAAAATGGATGAGTTTTTGAGAATCAGAGAAAGGGGAATTGAGAGAATTCCCCCCAAAAGGCTTTAATCTCAGTGAAGTAGGAAACTGGTCATTTTTTGTAAATATTGAGGCTGAGAGTGAGATAGGTTTGGGATAGTCACCAAGAAGAAGTAGACAGAGAGTCTTTAAGAAGAGTAGAAGGAACGCTGAGTAGTGGTGAAGACCCAGTTGAGTTTATAAAGCTTGTACATTTCTACTGGGTATAATCACCCACATTTTGTATCTTTATCCAGCTATAATCAGTAGCTACACAGGGGTGAGGAACCTTTGGCCTCAAGGCCACATGTGGCCTTCTATGTCCTTGGGTTCAACCTTTTGACTGAGTCCAAATTTTATAGAACAAATCTTTTTATTAAGAGGATTTGTTCTATGAACTTTGGATTCAGTCAAAGGGCCATACTTG